CACTGAATGGGGTGCTGGGGATTTGCTGGAGGGTCTATTGTCGCTGGGGAAGATTATTTGCAGCTGAGGGGGTCTATTGTTGCTGGTGGGGGATCTATTTTTGCTGGGAGATCTTAGGTTGCTAAGGGGTCAATTGTTGCTGAGAAGGATTTATTGTTGAGGGAGGGGTTTATTGTTGCTGGCTTCTGGAGGGCTTACTGATCCTGGCTGTTGGGAGATCTGTTGTATTGTTACTGGTGTGGGGGGGTTATTGTTGCTGGGGAGATCCATTGTTGCTGGTGGGGGATCTATTGTTTCTTGTGGGTCAATTGTTTCTGGGAAGGATTTATTGTTGAGAGAGGGGTCTGTTGTTGCTGGCTTCTGGAGGGTTTACTGATGCTGGCTGTTGGGAGATCTATTGTATTGTTACTGGCAGGGGGGTTATTGTTGCTGGCGGGGGATGTATTGTTGCTAGGGGAATCTATTGTTTCACGGGGGATCTATTGTTGATGGGAGGGAATTACTGTTGTTGGGGGGATCTATTGTTGTTGGCTACAGGGGATTGTGCACGTAGTTGGGTAGGGGACGGAGACAAGGGTGACTCAGAAGGGGAATTATCTGCACATATTTTCTGAGAACAAATCCCTGCTAACATGTGTTTAGGTAAAGGTAAAGTTCATCTAGGGAATATCCAATTGCCCCTTGGGGCATCAGGAAGGAATTTGTTCCCCTGCTGGAGAAAATTGGATCATGCTTTGCTGGGGTTTTTTTTTTACTTCCTCTGGATCAACTGTGGGTATAGAATTGTGTATATAGGATTGTATATTAATTATATTATATTATATTAATTAGCTGAACTAGATGGACTTGTGTCTCTTTTCAACCAGGCTAACTATGTAACTATGTATCTGCTGGAACACTGTGTTGTATACTGTATGTAGCTGATGTAAGTATCACTAAAGTGCAGGGGCGGACTGACAACTCATGGGGCCTCCGGTCAATAGGGGATAATGGGGCCCCTGTGTCCTTGCCCAAACTCAAAAAAGCCTATGAAAAAGGTACCAGGGGCATCTCATGGGGCCCCATACTGACCCCGGGCCCTTGGGCAGTGCCTGAGTTTCCAAATGGTCAGTCCGCCCCTGCTAAAGTGATAGTGAAGCTGAAGTTAGGCTTTAAACCCACAAGTCTTCTTTTATACTAATTTTCCTTTGTTCTGCCTTTCCAAATGAACAAATTCAATAATTTACTGGTTGAATGTATAGTTTACTAGAGTAAAACACTTCTGGTAAATATAGAGTACATTTATTTAAAGAGGTCAATACATCAGACCAAAAAGGGAGAAATGAGGAGCAACTAGAGACTGAGGGATTTGGTTTCAAAAGAGGGACAGCCACTTCAAATGAGGACAGGGGGGTGCTGTGCTGCTATGACCTTCTAAAAGGATAGCATCAGAAAGCATGCTTTGAGATCTCTCTCGTCATACACAAGTGCCTGTTTAATTACACATTTATTAGCTGACCACTGAAGCGGATTATCAGCAAAGCTGAAGATCATTTGCATCTCTAACAAAAAAATTGCATTTTGCATGATGACCAGCTTTTAGGTTACATTACATCTCTGTGTATAATTGTGCTGCTTGCTGCATTTTTTGGTTTGATTTCTAGCAAAACACACCTTCTATAGAGATGAATGGGAAGGCAGCAAAGTGCCTGAAAAACACTGCACCTAAAATGCACCGCATGAAAATTCAGAGTTGTCAATGTAGTCCCAGAGTAGGAGTTTACTAGCATGCTAAGCGTTTTTTTTAAAGTAGAAACAAACCAGTATCTTCCCCTCCCCCCACGGTGCAGCAACTCAGCAGAGATTTTATTGGTGGATTGTTCTTCTCCATTACCCTAGAGAAGAACAGAGACGTTACACGCCTTTCTTGAAGCTGATTGCTCTCCCTCACAATTGTGTGGCATAAAGAGTTCAATCACTATTTGTCCATGCGGTCACCTGCTGCTGATTGAATTGCAGGGTGGCAACTGACAATGTCCATTGTCATATCAAAGAAAGTGCAGCATATCAAGGCGCCTTTGTGACCTTACCCTAAATCTGTAATAACAAAGGGCTTATCCTTAGCCCATACGTAGCAATGGCATCATCTGCCCTTAAATAATTTAATATAATGCTGTAAATCTTTCCTCAGCTCTAGTCTTTATATTATGAGAATTGGTAATCCTGATAATGCCTGCTGGTTTATTGTGTATACTTTTTTAGACATGAAATCTGCAATCTTTTCATTTCAATGTTTTTACATATTTATTATGAGGTAAGTTGGTGGGTATTTTTGTGTTATTTTGTGGGATGATTGCTGGTAAAAAGCATGCCTTCTGTTATAAAATAAACTGCAGTGTTCTAAACAAAAAGTATAAGAAATCACAATAAATATCCCCCACTCACACTATTGAGATGAATTATGTAGAGAGCAATAAAATTTATAACACATTAATGTAAATTGTTCTGCTTCCACAATCTAAGCACTGAAAGTGTGTCCTCTATAACTGATCCAGTTATAGTGAGATAGCCTAATTTACAGTCTCAGTAATCTGGCAGACAGTGATGTGACCCAAATGACATTTTGCAGATCATAGAAAGCTTTAACCCCAAACTTGTGCAGATCATAACAAATGAACCTCAGATAGGTCAAAAATCATAGCTACAGCAGAATGCAGTATATGTGAAGAAATGAAGGCTAAAGCATGAAGAAGAAGGATGGGACTAACTATAGAGAGCATCTCCAAGCTATGGAGTGAGGTAGGGACAAAATAATTTAAGGCAAACAGGCAGTACATGTGTAACAGGATATAAATCACTACATCCACATTATAAATATGCTTGTGCAAACTAATGCCAATGTGTGCAAAAACAAAAATAATGATGATAATAATAATGTGCTATAGTGCACCAAAATTCATAGTACTTGAAACTGTTATTTAAAACAATTCTCTGCAATCTTTATATTACAGCTTGTTATCCTCTCTAAATCAAGTGGATCAAGGTTGAATTTCTCTGGAATCAGACTCAGCTTTTAGACCAGATTTAAACTAACATAACTAATAGGTTAAAATCGCTTGCGTCTATTTACAGATCAAATAGAATTTGGTCTTCCCTACTTTACAAACACCAACACTCAGAGGCAAGGAGAGATAACCAACAAACATGAAAACCATTACAATTTTTATTAAAACAATATTAAAAACACACCACAAATAAATAGCTGTGTGGTCTGTGCACAAGGAAACTAAGTCGATCAAATTGAGGAATGGGGAGTACCATTGGGATCATCACTTCAGGCTGTTCACAGTGATTTAGGAAAGGAGGAGTGGATGCATGGATATCATAGATTTACACAAATTTAAAGGATAGGTTCACCTTTCAAAAAAAAATAAATTCACATTTTTTTGCGTATTTACTATTTTTTAGGAGCCTAGATCGCTGGTGCCATGTAGGACTCCTGCAGACTGTCAGTGTAATCTGGCTGCCCCTACATCATATGGGCAGGCAGTTTGACACTGACAAGAAGAATCAGTTAACTACCACAGTCAGGGCTGAGGATACGGCGGTACCACCAGTCCTTCTGTACAGGGCCCAGGCCAGCAGGCGGGCCCAGGCAGCTGGGTGAATTGTATGTGTGCAGGGTGATTGGCACAGTGGGGGGGCAATATTTGGAATTGATCCTCTGTATGACTCTCTCTGCAGCATCTGAAAGCTGGATTCTTCTCCTCTCCCTCCCGCTGGTTTTTAGCTCCTGCAGAGAGAGCCCTACAGGGGAGCGGTTTCAGTAATTGCCCCCCCACGCCCACCATGCCGATCATCCTCCCTGTGTACATTTGATTCAACCAGCTGCCTGGGCCCCCACAGTGTCGGCTTCCCTCCTCTCCTTATATGCTACATTAACCAACCCCTTTCTTTCCTGAATGAACATAGTGAGTGATCAGTACTGATCATTTACTGTGTTCATTCATAACTGAAGCATAGTAAACTGTTTTTTTTTGGGGGGGGCCCTGTCAGGTTTTCTGTATGGGACCCCGTGGTTTTTAACAACAGCCCTGACCATAGTGCTCAACAGTGCAGTGGTAGCTCATTGAGAGCTACAAACTGACAGCCACAAAGGATGTCTGTACTTGTAGTTCATTCATTAACAGAACTCTGTGAATGAATGAGGCGGACATGTGGGTGGAGCCCCACACAGCCATGCTTTTTTCAAAAAGTGACAGCTGGTGCAGGGAACTTCACCATGTGTTCAGATGAGCACCTGCAGGAGCGAGAACATGTTAAAAAACGGGTGGAACATGTAACATGTTCCCGAAGTTGAACTTATCATTCAAGAAGATTTATGTTTAATGTGCTTGATGTGTAGAGAATAACAAATTGGTGTAAGAAGATTGTGGTGGAGAATTTTGTTTTAAATTACGGTTTCAAGTAATATCACAAACTTTGTAGCACTCTAGCACTTTATTATTATCATTAAGCGCTGCACAAACTGCTGGCGGTATATAAATCCTGTATAATAATAATAATAGTAATCATTTATTGCTGTTTGTTTGAACAGATTGGCGTTTGTATGCACAAGCATAATTATGGTGTGGTAGTATACTCTAGATCAGAGTGAAAAACCCTACGTGTTGTAAATTCATGGCTCTGCACATAATTGACCAATAAAGTAGGTGGGAGATTTTTATTGTATTTTCTTATACTATTTCTTTGTTTAGAGCGCTGCACTTTATTTTATTTTGTAAAAGTTTCTTTCGCTTTGTGCTGGTGCTTTCATTTTATTATTGTAACATAGGGAGTGCGTTCAAGGAACTGTTTTGAGATATTCAGCATACCTTATGCTATTGTTATTATTTTTACTGGATTTGATTAGAATTTTATTTTTCTAAATGTGATGTATTTCATATGAAGAAGCATATTGAAAAGTGTCAAGCAGTCCAATTTGCCCTTGTGTGGGCATTTAAAGCGTTTCTTCACCGTCAGGGGCGGACTGACCATTTGGAAACTTGGGCACTGCCCGAGGGCCTAGGGTCAGTAGGGGGCCCCATGAGATGCCCTGGTACCTTTTTCATAGGCTTTTTTGAGTTTGGGCAAGGACACAGGGGCCCCATTATCACCTATTGCCCGGGGGCCCCATGAGTTGTCAGTCCGCCCCTGTTCACCGTAAAAAAAAAAATTAAAAGTCAGCAGGTACAAATCCTGTAGCTGCTGACTTTTAATAAAAGGGCACTTACCTGTCCAAGGATCCAGCGCCAACCTAACCAGAACCAGTTCTTAACTGGTCTTCAGGTTCCCACGCCAGCATCTTTAGTGTGGGAAGCCAACTTTGACAGATTGCAGCTTCACACCCAGCTTCCTACATGAGATGCGCTGTGCTTTGTGAATGGGCCCACAGCTTTCTGGGACCTGTGATGTGTCTCAGAAGGCTGTGGACAAAGAGAGGGGGCCTGAACTTCCACTCGGCTAGGTGACCTGAGTAGAAGTGGGTGCGAGTACCTGTCAAAGCTACCCACCCCCCCCAAAAAAAATGATCTGCCAAATGTGGTAGAGGAGGACTTAAAGCAGAACTTTCCTTTTTGGGTGATTTTTTGCTTTAAAATTTAGGTCGATTATGGGCTAATGGGGTCAATATCTGTCCTGTGTAAGACTACCCTAGGACATTTGTAGACATTGATGAATGATGGATGACTATCGTTGCTTATGTGTTCTACAGTCCAAACAAAATATGCACACAGCAGAACCAGAAAGGTATTTTCTTTATCATGAGATTAAAAACAATGTACATGAGTGCAGTATACCCCAAACATAAACAATCTGGGTTAGATATAGCAAAGTATATTCAATAAACAAATTAAGATTATCACAGTAATAATTGATACAAATATCAGTAACAGAGCTTTAGAAGATATATGAAGCATAAGGGTCTACAGTACAGTTTGCTGTGCTACCAGGGTCAGTAGGAGTGGTTGTGAGTCACAACAAAACAAACATATCTATGTACTGTATATTTCTGAAGGGACTTTCAATCAAAGGTAAACATTTACAAATGGTGGAATGATGTTGACTAGCTGTAGTGCTACCATCCTAAGGAGCCGCTGGATTTTTGGGTCCCCCGTATTCCTGCACAGCCATGCGACATGCATTTTCAGTAGACACACAAAGTCAGAAATCCAGTCCAGGGGCTTGCGTTTGTTGTTTTATTGAGCGGAAAACAACTTGGATAGGGATAAAGGATTATGGGATGTCCAACTTGACTTGGTGAGGACAACTTTCTGCAAAATGTACAAGAAAAATGGATCCTGGACTGTACTCCCACTGGAGTGGTATCAGTCTCTAAAGGATCATTAGCAATGTTACTTTAAGGAGCACTAGGTCCCCTTGAATAAACTTTCAAAGCCCACGTTAGCAATACCAGCAGCCCACCTGCTTGCCTTGAAGACTGTCCCAGAGCAAGGTATTTAGGTAGCTGTGACACTGATCTAATGAAAGCTTGTTGGATATTGCATCTAGCAGCCCTCCCCTATGTAGGCCCTGGGGATGTAGAGGTACTCATACTGACCCTTGTATACTGCTGCTATGGATGAGAATGCTTCCAGAACTTTGGCTGTGCTAGTCTTCAGAAAGGTAGGCAGGCTGTCCCCTTCTTTAGACCGCAGAGTAGTAGAGATCCCTCTTTCCAGCTTCCTTCCCTTCCTTCTCCTTTTGCCTGGAGGCAGATCCCTCCTTCTCCGGGGTCCCCACCCGGACCTTACGATCCTCAGTACTCCATCTTCCACCCAGTCACCAGACTCCTCTTGCTGGCTAGGCGCTTTCATATTTATAGTCCCATCTCACCACATTGCCAGGCCTCCTATCTGGGATTGGTCATAGACATGCAGATCACCACCTCTTTGCCTCCACCCACTAGCTTCTAGAATCTTCTGGAAACTTCCATAAATAAAGGGAGGTACCAGAGGCCTGACCTGTAGAACCCTCCAGCCTAAAGCAAAGTAAATCCAAAAACAATTCCCCAGACTCACCTCATTACTATGAGCTAAATGCAGAATTTCAGGGAAGGTATAGAAAAATACTTCTTCTTAAAGACTTGGGGTTTCATGGTTTCAGAATACTGTTTTCGGAATGACATTTGTTGGTAGTTAGTCCAAAACTCTGAAGTAGGCCTTGTTTACACTTGCATTGGACTCTGAAAAGCGATTTGACTTGGATCATTTTTTCAGAGAGCAGGACAGAATCAGGCATTCATGAATTGATACTGCCACCTCCACCTGTTTTTTTTTTACAGTTGAGCAGTGCTTTTGAGTGGGAATATTGTACTGCAACCACAAGGCCCTATTCACTTGAATGGGTCACATTCGCCTGTAGTACTGCCCAGGAAACATGTCAGGTAGGGTATCATTTTTCAATGGCCACCAAGCATAACATATGTGGCATGTATTCAACTTCATCTGTTATTCTAAGGAGTGTGGTCAGGAAAACTAGAAAACTATAGGTCAGCCAGCTATTTTTTACTGCCCCACCCAATGCAAGTGTATACAAGCCCTTAAAGCTTCACTGAATCTAAAAACAAAAATGTATTATTATATGGCTTGCCAATCATTGATGTAGTGGCTGCATTAGTATTCTTTTTTCCAATTTTATTCCTTTTTTCTTTTGGTGATCAGCCAGTAAGACACACCCTGTCTTAGGGTGGCTACATTCACTCCCCTGCTGTATCTATTGAGGAGCAATATAGCTACCCTTGTTCAGCAGCACTGTCAATCATTGGAGAGTGTAGTTTTAGATGGACTGGTAGATTTAGATGAACTTTACATAAGTGACTAAGAATTTAAAACCCAACTCCATCTAACACCTTGTAACAATAGCAATTTTTTTTCCCTTTGGGAATAAAAGCTGGCAATTATAAGCAGTGTTAAATGGTTTGTCTCCACCCTCTAATTGCCACCGTTGCTAGACAGCTTGTTCTGTTAAAGGAAATTGAACAACAACAGACTTACTGACCGGATCACCAGGATAAATGGTGTTACAAGGGGAATCAGAAAAACAAAGACTGATCTATTAATGCTACTGACAGACAGTATCATATATTGTATGTCATTTTTTTATTTGGGCCATAGCTACACTTTAAGGAAGCCAAATAATAAATATATTGTATCAACAGGTAAAGGAAATATACAAAGTGTGGTGACAATCTGAGTAACTTTAAGCAAGATAAGAAAAAAAAGAAACTTTAGTTCAGTAATGTGTTCATTAAAGCCATTCAAGTGGAACTATGGGCAAGATAAAGACTTTCATCTAAGATAAAAGAGTTTTTGTTTTTCTGTGTTCCACCTGTAACAGTGTTTATTACCTGTTGATCCTGCCAGTAGATTTAACATTTCTTCACCTTAAAACAGATCAAGTTGTCCAGCAAAAGTTTCTGTTACAGGTGTTGGAACAAATATAACACTGATAGGGGGTACTTACAACAGTCAACTTTTATTCACATGTTTTTTGTTTTCAAAAGAAAAAAAAAACTGTTATTGTAGCTACTTTTTAAGTTTTAAACTGAAGTTAGACTTTAATTTGACTTTTACGTAAAGTCAGTTTAAAGTTACGTGTCCATCTAAGACGACCCTGTCAAGGGGACAACATTGCTGTGTGATTTCATTGCATAATGAACAATAATGTCACCCAATTAAAGGAAAGGAAAAGCTCCTTAGGAGCTTCATCCTCTTGCACCCTCGTAGCCTATCTACTGGTTGATTTGGCCTACAGCTGCACTCAAACCATTACCAACCCATCAACATCTACCAAATGATTGATAATCTTTTGCAAAATTTATTGACTCAAATGTTCAGGGCATAGAGGGCTGGTGTACAGAATATACAAAAACAGCAAAAATTCCTTCACTCTGTAATATCTTCTTACCTATGTCACAGGCCAAGAGTGAACTCTTTTGCCTTCTTTACAAGCTAGTTTAGAACAGACAGTTCAGATGGACAGCTTTATTTAGGTATAGCCCTTCCCACAGGCTAGTTGTGGACCTTTAACCTGACAATCGACAATCATACTAAGTAAAAGGCTTGGAAAGCATGAACCTCTCTAGAAATACCCTCCCCAGGAACTACATCCTCTCAAGGCCAGGAGGCAAAGATGCTTCTGGAAAGTCTCCTTAAGTATTTATACCCTTGCCCAGCATGCATCAACGGATGAAACAGACAAATCATAATAAAAATGTATAACTCCTTATATTGTATCTTGTCACTTTAACTGTGGGAGAACACTGTCCAGTAGTTGCCAGAAGCAATTAATATCCTAGGCTTAGGGGAAAGCTGACAAACTCAGATATCAATAGAATTCAAAGCTCAGGCTGGCTACAACCTAGCGGCAACATGGAAGATAGAATAGGGATAGTCCAGCTTAAGTCAGTATTAAACCCGAAAGCAGACATTTATTTTATTGCAACTTACTAATTCTTAGATGTGATAGCTGCATTTGATTTCTTTTTTTATGTTTTTTTTCTTTATTTTCACCTGGTGTGTTATTTTTAAACTTACTTTAACACACCAAACTTTCCAGAAAAAGTAGCAATTAGGGGGTTGAGACAAATTATTTAACACTGACAGGTACAATGGTCAACTTTTATTGATTTATGTAAAGCCTTTATCCCAAAAGGAAAAAAATATTCTCTCCCCAGACTGACAATACTGCTATGAAAAGGTGTCCGCTTTACTACTTCATCCAGAATGTAGATACTCTAAGACAGGAAGCATGTTACTGGTTGGATTACTAGGTGAAAAAGGAAAAAAACACCCTAAAATTAGAAAACTAATGCAGCCACCACATCTACAGATTGGTAAACTGCAATATATTACATTTTGGATTTGTTTTTCAAAGAATATTTTTATTTTATATATCTCAGCCATCCAGAGTAGACAACGCTGTACAGTCATGAATACAAAATCCAATATGTAAAGCATACAGTGCTGTGAAAATGTATTTGCCCCCTTTCAGATTTTTTTAATTTTTTGCATATTTGTCACACTCAGGGGTGGACTGACAACTCATGGGGGCCCATCGGGCAATAGGGGATCATGGGGCCCCTGTGTCCTTGCCCAGACCCAAAAAAGCCTATTTAAAAGCCAATGAAAGGTACCAGGGGCAACTCATGGGGCCCCCTACTGACCCCGGCCCTCGGGCAGTGCCCGAGTGCTCGAATGTTTAGTCCGCCACTGGTCACACTTAAATGATTCAGATCATCGAACAAATTTTAGTATTGCACAAAGATAACCCAAGTAAATACAAAATACAGTTTTTAAATGATGATTTAATTTATTAAAGAATAAGTTCAGCTCTGGGAACATGTTACATGTTCCATGCAATTTTAGGCAGTGTTCTGTGTATGAATGGATTACAAGTCCCGACAGTACTAGCGGCTGTTGGTTTGTATTTCTCAATTAACTGCCACATCACTGTGAGAGCTGTGGTAGTTCATTGAGTCTTCCTGTAAGAAGTATCAGTTTTCCTGTACAGATGTATGAGCAAGCAGATAAACAATAGACCTGCATGGCACCAGTGACCTGCTGATCACTGAAGCAATGCTTTACAGGCTTCTACTACAAAAAACATACCTCCCAACTTTCTGAGATGGGAATGAGGGATACCTACTAGCAGTGGTGTATTTAGGTTTTGTGCTGCCCTAGCAAAAGTATGTAGGCATAGGAAACATCCCCCTGCCACACCCCCCTTAACCGCCTCTCACCATATAGTAATATGACGGACGCAAGGTGGTTCTCTCGTTCTGGAAGGACGTCATATGACATACTCCCATTCTAACCACGCATGCGCGGCTACCGGAGCGCGCGGCGCAGCAATCGGCGGTGATCTGTGTCCCTTGGACACAGCGGATCACCGATCCACGGAAAGAGCCGAAGATTTTGGCTCAGTCATGTGATCAGCTGTTCCAATCACAGCTGATCACATGTAAACAGGGAATTGCCGGTTATTGGCATTTCTCTCCCCATGAGCTGTCACGCTGACAGCTTGTGAGAAGAGGAGAGCCAGTAATCGGCATTCCTCGGAGGGGACATGTACACTGATCAACAGGGCACTGATGATCAGTGTGCCCTGATGATCTGTGTAGCCCCAGCTGTGCCACTGGTCAGTGTCCATCAGTGCCAGCTCTCAGTGCTCATCCATGCCACCTGCCAGTGCCACATCAGTGCCACATCAATGCCACATATCAGTGTCCATCTGAGCTGCCTTTCAGTGTCACCCATCAGTGCCAGTCAGTGTCACCTATCAATGCCAGTCAGTGCCACCTATCAGTGCCAGTCAATGCCACCTATCAGTGTCAGTCAGTGCCCCCTATCAGTGTGCACCAGTGCCGCATATCAGTGCCCATCAGTGTTGCCTATCAGTGCCAGTCAGTGCCACCTATCAGTGCCACCTATCAGTGCCACCTATCAGTGCTGCCTTTCAGTGCCCATCAGTGATGCCTGTCAATGCCCATCAGTGCCACCTACCTGTGCCTCCTCATCAGTGCCCATCAGTGCCACCTTTCAGTGTCCATCAGTGCAGCATATCAGTGCCCATCACTGCAGCCTCATTAGCGCACATCAGTGAAGGAGAAAAATCACTTATTTACAAAGTTTTATAACAAAAACTAAGAAAAAACTTTTTTTTTTTCAAAATTTTCAGTGGTTTTTGGTTTGTTTAAGAAAAAAAAACACAGAGGTGATTAAATATCACACAAATAAAGCTCTGTCACAAAAAAATGATAAAAATTTCATATGGGTACAGTGTAGCATGACCGCGCAATTGTCATTCAAAATGCAACTGAAAGCTGGAAATTGGCCTGGGCAGGGAGGGGGTATAAGTGCCCTGTAGGCTAGTGGTTAAAGGAGAATGGTACAGGGAAAAAAATGTTAGATTAAACTGACAAGTGCATTTTTACCACTGCTATTCCTTTATATTGGCTTTTGAATTTTACAAATGCAACAATTTAGTAACTGGATGAAAGGTTTAGCACTGTGAAAAAACATTTTGATAACTAAGTAGTGCATTTTATAAAACCAAAATTAGGGACAAATGAGGAGGAATGAAGGACAGAGGGACTTTGTCCTGAATGAGGGACAGTCCCTCAAAATTAGGGACAGTTGCAAGCTATGCAAAAAAATAAATAAATGTACATTTTCTACCTGAAAAAAATGTGCATTTATTATCTTTGTAGAAAGGTGAACTTTAAGGAAAAAAACTGCCCAAACCTACCTGGCCATACAGGAAAAAAGAAATTGCTCCCTAAACCTAATAACTGGTTGTTGCACCCTTGACAGCAACAACTGCAATCAAGCATTTGCGATAACTGGCAATATGTCTTTCACATCATTGTGGAGGAAGTTGGCCCACTCTTTTTTGCAGAATTGTTTTAATTCAGCCACATTGGAGGGTTTTTGAGCATGAATGGCCTGTTTAAGGTCATGCCACAGCATCTCAATTGGATTTAAATCCAGACTTTCACTAGGTCTCTCCAAAACCTTAATTTTTTTTTGCGCCATTCAGAGGTGGACTTGCTGGTGTGTTTTAGATAATTGTCCTGCTGCATAACCCAAGTGCACTTGAGCTTGAGGTCACAAACGGATGGGCTGTGCATTCTCCTTCAGGATTTTCTAGTAGTGCAGAATTCATGGTTCCATCAATTATGGCAAGTCGTCCAGGTCCTGAAGCTGCAAAGCAGCCCTGAGCTATCACACTACCACCACCATGTTTGACTGATGGTATGATGTACTTATTATGAAATGCTGTGTTAGTTTTATGCCAGATGTAACAGGACGCACACCTTTCAAAAAGCTCAACTTTTGTCTCATCAGTCCACAGAATATTTGCCCAAAAGTCTTGGGGATTATCAAGATGTTTTTTGGCAAATGGGAGATAAGCCTTTGTGTTTTTTTGGTCAGCAGTGGCTTTTGTCTTGGAACTCTCCTATGGTTGCCATTTTTACCCAGTCTCTTTCTTACTGTTGAATCATGAACACTGACCTTAACTGAGATAAATGAGGCCTGCAGTTCTTTACATATTGTTCTGGGTTCTTTTATGACCTCCTGGATGAATCATCATTGTGCTTTTGGAGTAACTTTAGTAGGCTTGCCACTCCTGGAAAGGTTCACCACTGTTCCAAGTTTACTCCATTTGTGGATAATGGCTCTCACCATGGTTTTGCTGGAGTCCCAAAGCCTTAGAATGGCTTTGCAACCCTTTCCAGACTGATACATGCTGACTACTTTGTTTCTCATCTGTTCTTGAATTTCTTTAGCTCATGGCATGATGTGTTGTTTTTTTTTTAGATATTTTAGCTTGCTTCACTTTGTCAGACAGCTTCTATTTAAGTGATTCCTTGATACAAAAGGTCTGGCAGTTATCAGGCCTGGGTGTGACAAATGAAATTACCTTTCACAGGCAAGTTTGGACAGTTTTTTTCTCTTAAAAAAATGAAATCATCATTAAAAAACTGCAATTTGTATTTACTCGAGTTATCTCTGTGTAATATTAACATTTGTTTGATTCTCTGAATCATTTAAGTGTAACAAATATGCAAAAAAAAAAAATCAGGATGGAGGCAAATACTTTTTCACAGCACTGTACAATTGTGTTTTTGGCAAGTACAAGTAGAAAATGTCTTTACGATAATACAATTCTCCACTACTCCACTACATTTTTGGATTTGATACTACAGGGCCTCTACACTCTCCCCCTACTCAAAAAGATGTTGTCCTCAAATGCTAAATTAAAAAAAATACTTTTGTTTCTGAAACTTTATTATCCTGTTTACAATTGAACAAGGAAGGCAACTTAGGGAACAGCAAAGGATTGGGCTACAAAGTGCATGTGAAGTTTCACATGTTAATGCAAAAAAGGTTCAAGGGTATTGACTACATTTCCCAAAGAACAATGACTAAATGCTGCTAATCCCAAACAGACAATCAGTGACAGGTACTCTTTGATACTATAGAGCAACATTACATCACATGGTAAATAACGTCCTCATTAAACAATGCAAATAAGATTCTCCAGTTGCTCCACCTGCAAAAGAGTATAAAAAAAACAGCAATGCAGCAATTAATTTCTGAAGCTCCTTTCTCACAAAAATGATACTCTGATACTCCAAAGCACTCACTTTATGGTAATAGCATTACAAGTGGTAAACGTCCATCCCAAACTACAAAACAGTATACATCTTTTACACAAGTCCTTGTATGCAATACTTGTAGTTTTGTAGAAATAGCGTGGTTAGTGGCTTGACCAGGAAGATCTGACCTGGGAAAAGAACTTTATTTAAATAATTACAGACTATATACACATATAAATGGAGCACAAAAGTCCCATTGTATGCAAAGTCCTCAGGTTCATCTAATCACTTGCTAAAGTGATAAAGGGTTTTCACCATAACAGTTGCAAGTTTAATTTTTGCTACTGGCAGCTCAGGAACAAAATAGCCAGCAGTTTTTCATTCAAAAACATGACAGCATGAGAAGGTACTAGTGAATCAGGGGGCAAGGGCCAGCAGTCTTTCAAACCAGAAGCAAAGTAGCACTTCTGATTCAGAGTTCAACAGTCTCCTTCCAGCAGCAAAGAACAGGTGAATACATTTCCTACAGGAAAACAACATCTCTCTAGTTGGTTGGTCCACACAAACTATTTAAAGTACAATATAACATGGAGATCACCTTTAACTTTACTGCTATCATAAGGGACTAACAAGCCCCCTATGTGATAGCATGGGCAGGTGACAGCTTCTTCTTTTATAGACATCAGGGATCTTTTAGACCCCTATTGTCCTCCCTACCCCTCACTTCAGCCAGTCAACTACAGGACCAGGTTTGACAGCTCTGAATCTGAAAATGCTTGTGGACTGAGCATTTCCAGGCTCATTAATCGCAGAGCAGAACAGGGAAAACTGTTCTCTGATCTAATTCCACTCTCCATTCTGACACCAGTTACAATGAACCATGGCATACAGCGCTGGGGGTTGGGGGCAGTGGTGTATTTAGATTTTGTGCTGCCCTAGGCAAAACAAAAATTGTCTGACACCACGGACACTAACCAACACCCCCCCCCATAGAACCTGACAATGACCAACAACACCCCTGCCCCCCATCTGGGAGAGCCTTATATTACCCTCTTCTGGCAATAGATAGAAATACACCCATCTTCACAGCTTTGAACATCCCGGGGAACGAGAGTCAGGCTGTACATACACCATCAAGCAGCCTGCAGCCTCTCTCGGATCCCACCTGGTTCCCATGGCACATGTGTCCCTTCTTGTGGGGGGAGGTGCTGCCCCCCTGAAAAATGCCGCCCTAGGCAAGTGCCTTGTTTGCCTTGTGGTAAATACGCCCCTGGTTGGGGGGGTGTAGTATCTTGATAATACCGTAAATATGATCAGGTTGTTTTACAGCCTTTCCACTCCCTTTTCCTGGATGGCTGGGAATCCTGAGACTAAAGAAAACAAATACCAAGCTTAAGGCTACTGCCCCATAAGACTGTTTTAATCACTTGAAGTCAAAATATATAAAAATATATATATATGGCTTGTGGACAGCAAGTGGTTAAAGTATACGCCAAGCCAGAAATGTTTTTTTACTACTATTGATGTTGGAGAGATTTACCTCACTTCCTTTCCCGCTGGCAAAGGGTCCTTTCACATGGGCATTCTGTTTTTCTCATCAGTTCAGTCACGTTTTTTCAAAGAAAAAACGGATCAGTTCACATCAGTTTTTCATCAGCTCACATCCATTTTTCATCAATTTACATCTGTTTTTCATCCGTTTTCTACATCCTTTACCAATACAAAAACAGATGCAAAAATTTACTGTATGCCCATTTACATCCATTTACACCCATTTTTCGTCCGTTTACATCTATTTTTCGCCTATTCTGGGGGGTTTTTACAAAAGAAAAATAGGGTTTTCTTCTGTTAAAAAAAAGCATGTTAATGGATGGAAACATTAGCAGATGTAAATAGATGATCATCCACTAGTCCATAGAAATATGGCCAAATGAAAAATGGACATACGGAACGCCCGTGTGAAAGGACCCAAAGTGAAGAAAACTGCAGCAGGGATACAAACAGCAATCTTACAGGATAGATTGTTAGGTACCTTCACTTTATCTGGTAAAATGTTGTCAGCAGGACAGGAAGTGAGGGTAAATCTCTCTAATGGAGCCTCTAACAGTTATAAAAATTAGACAGGAGGTCTAATTCTTCCAACTCTACCGAAAGAAAAAATGTTTTGGCCAGACTAACTGTACATATGAAAAAGTTTTGGCTACAGTTTCAATTGAATACATTTGGATAATCTGAAAAAAACATGATGATATGTTGATAGTCTATGTTTGCATGTTTTAAACAGATATTTTAATGATTACTAAGTTAGTAGAACAAATAAATGAGTTAGGTAGATTTTTCTCTCATAGAGTCACACGGTGTTGTTCACCAGATGGGGTTACCATAGCAATTCAGCTTGAAAGATAAGCATCTCTATCCTAATCAAATACACATACAGTATTTAGCCTTAGGGATTAATGTCCATGGCACATAATTAGAATTCTTCAAAGGATCA